TAAAAAAAATAAACCAAGATTCGTACTTACGAATCTTGGTTCTTCTTTTCCCGAAGGTCGGAAGCCCACTCCACCCGATCCTAAAAAAAAAAGAACGGTTATTAGTAACCGTTCATTAATATTAAAAAAAAAAAAATTAAAAAAATTAAACCAAGATTCATACTTACGAATCTTGGTTTTTCCACACAAAAGCCCGCCCGAACCTATAAAAAAAAGAAAGGAACGGTTAGTAAACCGTTCCAAAATGATAAAAAAAAATAAAAATAAAAAATATATAAAGATTCGTACTGTACTTACGAATCTTTATCTTTGGGTTTTCATTCTTCGGAAGCCCACCTGAACCTAAAAAAAAAGAAAGAATGGTTAGTAACCCATTCGTAATAATAATAAATAAAAACAAAAATTAAAGATTCGTACTTACGAATCTTTGGGTTTTCGTTCTTCGGAAGCCCACCGATCCTAAAAAAAAGAAAAGAACGGTTATTAGTAAACCGTTCATATATTAAAAAAAAAACAAAAAAATTAAACCAAGATTCGTACTTACTTATGAATCTTGGTTTCTTGGTTTTCTGTTCTTCGGAAGCCCACCCGATCCTAAAAAATAGAAAAGAACGGTTATTAGTAACCGTTCATAATATTTTCATAATATTTTTTTAAAAAAATAAAAAAAAAAATCCAAGATTCTTACGAATCTTTGGAATTTTCCCGTTCTTCGGAACACGGAAGCCCACCCGAACGGCTGAACCTAAAAAAAAAGTAAAAAAAGAACGGTTAGTAACCGTTCATATTAAATTAAAAAAAAAAATAATAAACCAAGTTTCGTACTTACGAAACTTGGTTTTTCCATACTTCGGAAGCCCACCCGAACGGCCGAATCTAAAAAAAGTAATAAAAGAACGGTTAGTAACCGTTCATACTAAATTAAAAAAAAATAAATAAATAAACCAAGTTTCGTACTTACGAAACTTGGTTTTTCCATACTTCGGAAGCCCACCCGAGCCTTTTAAATGGGCGTTTTGAATCTAAAAAAGAAAAAAATGAAAATGTTAGTGAAACGTTTTGTTAAAAAAAGTAAAAATTCGAAGGTATATGTATACCTTCGAAGGAGATAAGTGACGAAAGGAAAGGGGAAAGGGTAAGGAAGGGAAAAGCGAAGGAAGGGAAAGGAGAACGAAGGGAGGGAAAGGGGAAGAAGAGAAACTGGAACGAAGGAAAAGGGGAACGAAGGAAGGGAAAGGGCGAGGAGGGAAGGAAGAAAATTAAAAAGTTTAAAAAAGGATCATCCTTTTTTAAACTTTTATTTTAATACGCGTATCGCGTAATGCATAACGTTTGATTAACATAATTCAACTAGGTTGAATATATGTCTAATCGTAGATCTTTACTAATTGAAGTCGAATTTTATTAATTCTAGTCGAATATAGGCCAAATTGTATTAAGGCCGAATATTCCTTTTTCGACTAGTGATAATCTTGTTAGGTGGACAGAATCGTTAAGATTACCCTACTTCAATCCAATCAGACATTGCGTCGTAGACCCAATGCATAATTTATTTCTCGGAATTGCCAGCTGGATTGTAAAACGTT